GAGAAAAAAAAAGGAAAAGGTGAAGAGTTATTGGTATACAAAATAAAACTTCAATCTATCCTTTCATCGTCGTAACGACCTATTCAAATGGTGCAGAATTTGGCGTCAAACGACTAATTTGCCGTACAGCTGTAATGGTTACGGTAGTCGTAGCAGCTGAGACAGTTCCTGAGTTTGGCGTATTGCTAGACTTTGTTGGCGGATCCACCATAACATTGATGGCGATTGTTTTTCCAATTGTTTTCAACTTGTATTTATACGCAGGGCACAGAAAACACAGTGGAAAACCAGCGGCTGCTGATGAGACTTGGATTACCATGACTGAGTATACATTTTTGTAACGTCATCGAACTAAACAGTTCGCAGCTAGAAAAGCGAAAGAAATGAAGACGTAATTAGTAATTAAATTTTCTTTAGGATCTACCGGTACACTCCTAAGGGAAGACTTGCGCTTAATCTTATCGTACTTGGTACGGTCAAAATTTATTTCAATAAAATTTCCATTTTTATCTTACCTTTAAGCCTTCTACGTGCATCACTTTTCTCTAGCAATTGGAATAGTTGTCGGCATGGCAGCATCTTGGGCAGCTCTGGAAGCGATGATTAGTGCTGAATTTTCGACTCCTTGTTACGCTAGACTTTTCACAGCGACCTCACTTGAAAAGCAGTTTAATAACAGTACTTACAGGTGCTTATTTGCTTGTAAAATTATTTTTGGCAGCAAACATACGCTTATACAAATTGATCTCTGCAACTAACATTCTATTCGATTTACAGCGCGCACGGTAAGGTGAATTGCTGCGGAATCTTCAAGAACGTAACCAGCTTAGGACCACCTACAGAATTCTGCTTAAAACCAGCTTTTGCTAGTTTTGAATCTTCAAGCGGTTAAATTTCTTGTGAGTACTTTTTTGAAATGAGAGAAAAAATGAAAGCCATTACATTGAATTAAAAGGGAGCTTGACAAAACTAGTTTAACTGACAGTTTTTCACCGTAACTTTGCGGAGTAGATTTTCTGATAAATGTTGCATGATTTGTAAACGATACTACCGTCAAATGTCTTTGTTTTCCATTTTTTTAAACAGTTGAATTGCGCTGTTTTGAGACAGTGATTTTGATGCCCCTCGGCTTTTCTTTAATTTTCATCAGCTTAAAACTTATTTGGCAATTGGTTGAGAAATAGTAAAGCAAATCAACAGCAGCATAATCGTCAATGAGTTGTGAAGCTGAAGTTCTTGCATAAAAACAACCTGTATATTAATAAACCTAAAGACTAATAATTAAACTACAAGTTGCTGTTTACGATGTTTATTTTTGACGTCATTAACGGGTTTCTGAAGTGTTCTAAAGTGAGTTGAAAGGTACTGTTGTACTATCATTTTTTTGTTTCAAATTGTTTTCTAAAGGGTGCTAAAGGTGTTTGTTTAAAAAACACAGTACACTCTTCTTCATTTATAATGATCATTCGACAAAATAATAAATGCTTTTGGCTTTTCTGTGCCTAAGAAATCAGTTCTGATACATAAACTTCATTTTCAGATGCGTTATCATCGGTAAGTGGTAATAAATAGTTGTTTCTATTTTGTTTTTTATGAATTTTATACTGACCATCGAGTTTTGATGTTATTTGTTGAGTTTTAGAAGTGGATCAAAGTGCTGGTGCGAAATCAGGTGTTTTGCTTAGGCTGTTACTTGCTTGTTGTTCTCAGTGTTTTCTAATTCCTTAGAGTTTCTTTGTGACACTTTTAAATGAATAAATTAAAGACGGTTGTTCACCTGCAAAAAGATGACATTTTTTGATGGATTTATTTTCTATACTCATTTTTTAATCTCAGTCAGCTGCATATTTTCAATCATTTTTTGTCTGCCAACAAACGGGTTAAAGTGCACTTGTAACGCAACAACAGCGTAAGAAAACTATTTTTTGATTTAACATAAAATTTATTTCAATAAAGTAACCAAAAACTAACTTTTTTGCCACTTCAAAGCTGAAACATCTATCAGAAGAATGTTATCATCTCAAAAATATACTGTAATATTTTTATGCCACGACGGCATATCGGAGCAGAGGCTGACAAATCCAAGACTTGTTAATTTAAACCAAAAAACCAAATAGCTACTTCTTCATTAAGTCATAGCTGCAGACACTTTTTCTTCAGAATAATTTTTAGCTAAAAACTTAGTTTTTTTCTATTTCCTCTCTCAGAATCATAACAGTTCAAATGAGGGAGCAGTAAAATAAGACAAATTATTTGTTACTTCTATCAACAAGACTCCCCAAGTGATAAAAAATTTAAAAACACACGTAGGTTAATCTTTCACTGTGTGTAATTTAAAACTAATTCCTAATGGTTTAAAAATAATTAGTCCTGAAGAGCTGAAGGCTTATTATATTTAGCAAATTATTGGCTTCAGAATCTGTTGCGACAAATGTCGTATTGGCGGTATGTATCCCGGAACTGCTATCTCATCAGGCGATAATCTAAAGTTGACATGCCCAAAATCGACACCATATGCATAACAATAAACGCTCAAGTAATTTATATCATAAACTGTTACACCCGTCGGAAGGCGTACAAACAAATCTGCATCGCCTCTGTGGTCTTCAAGAATCGGACAGTAACTGAAATAATCATCAAAGTTGTCATCAGGTCATATATCTAACAGAATTTCCCGTGGAAATCGCTGTCACTTTTACAGCTGTTTTTTTGAGACATTATCAAACACAGACGATTGCAAGAAAATTGAGAGTCAATTAAAACTAAAGCTTATATCAAACGCACTTTTCTTGTCCATCTGCAAGTAGAACAGCTGCCTTTTGACCAATTTCTTTATCAACTTCACCTTCTCCAACCAAAATCCATCCGTCTAAAACTAGATCTCAGTAATTTTTAAAGAAAGATTTAGCATCTCAGGTGGAAAACCTTTATTTATTTTAAGTGTTAAAATTTTGAGCAGTACTCGTTATTTTAAATCGGTTCAATGATTTGAAACGTTTTTTTCCGTATGATGTTCACCCAAGTTTCTCCAGTTTCTAAGAAATGCTAGGTGCTCTTGAAATTATGACTGAAAAAGCAGGTAAAAAATAATTGACAAACAAAATGTTGCCAGTCATTATGAAAAAACTTTTTTTGTTATTTTAAATAGACTTCAAAAATGCTGTGTGAATTAGAAAAAAAGTAAAGCTATTGAAAAAAACCATTATTGGGTAAAAACAGAGGAATAGAACAAAGGAAGAGCTAATTAAATGTCTTTGAAACGTTACCCGGAGCTTGCGTTCCCGAGAAGCTGAACTGCTTGATGCGCAGTGTTTTAGAATCGATAACCTCAACTGGTGCACTGCTTACGTCATAATGCGTTCCAATCAGTCCTTGCCCAGCATAATTGTTTCCGATGCAACAGTGGGGTTTTGGTGCAAGTTGCTCAATTTCTACAGATGCCAACACCTGAAAAAAAAACATCTTTTTGTGCAGCATTAAAGCTTAGCATTTTTTTACGGCGTCTAGGGGGGCAACAAAACTAGTGGTTGATTACAAATAATTTTCTTCAATTGTTCCGCTCTATCAATAAGAATACATTTACACTTCACCAATTCGATTACAGATCTGCTATTTTGTTTGCCATATTATACAGTTTTTTGATAAAGCCTTTCTTATACTGCCTTTCAGTTTTCGCTGTTGATGCAAGAAGAAAGCGCTTGAGCTTAGCTGCTTACAAAGTTGTACTATTTGAAAACTGTTCATCTCACCGAATCGTCAGTCAATGTTATTATTGTTATTATTATCACTGGCAATAACATTATTATTATTATTATTATTATCAATATTATTATTATCGTTATTATTATGGAGTTATCCTATATAACGAGGAATATTCTGCACCAAATTATGTTTTCAAACACTGGGTATTTATACGCGGCAAGTAAAGATATTTGAGAGAAAAAATGTCCGACTCAGCTTTACTTCTAAAAAACAAAATTTTGATTACAAAAATTAACTAAAAATCAAACAGTTTTTAAGACAAGCAACTTGAAAATTTCAAAAATTTTCAGGCATATAAATAATGACATTTACAGGTGGTAAAAGAAGTGAAAAAAAAGGTAAAAAATTCTATAAAGCACCTCTGAAACAGTTACATTAACAAAACAGCTCAACTAAGAGAACCAAATGATACTGATTTAAATGAATAATTCCGTTAAAAGTGACTTGGAATTAAATATTCTGTTGTTTATAAATCCGTCGCCTGCAAACGAAATGCTTTTATACATGTGTACCTGAAATCGTCTAAAAATTTCTCGTTTAAAACCTTTCTTTTACGCATTCACTTGCCAACGTTACGGGAAAACGAAGGTGCTAAGTGTTGTTAAGTTAACAAACCTGAATATTTTATACCAGTTCTTTTAGAAACACCTAATGATGATTGCTGATATATTGTAAGATTAATTTGAGGAGATAGAAATTTTGATCGACTTTGACATTAAAATCTGTCCGTTAATTGCTAGAATACTATCGCGGCATTGAAAAAATTATCTAGCTGCCGTTCTAATATTGTCGCAGTATGTCAGAAGTTTTCAAAATGCAACTTTATTTCTCAACCTAATGCTTTTTTTCAAGCATGAATAATTTTTTTTTTGGTTTATTTTGAAAAAGTGTCATAAATTTTTAGTTTATTTGTTCGTCGTCCTTCCTAATTATATAAAAAAATTTTATAGAACAAAAATCAATTTCAAAAACTGATGCTTAATTGTATACGACCAAAAAGAAAATTCTAGCAAAGGCTGTTATTGTATATACTGGCAATTAACTGGTGACAGCAAACTGATCTGTGCAAATAAATGAAGGATATTTCGTCTGTGTTAATAGCACTTCAGAAAATAAACCATTTCTTCTCTACTAAAAATAGAAAAAATTTTTATTATCTGTAATAGCATTAGCAGATGGACTATAAAACCCGATGCAGGCAATTTCATCCAATAACAAATTAATTTTTTTAATGCAGAAAAATGTTTTGTTTCTATTTTTTTTGCCTAAAAAAACGGATTTATATTATTAATCTGACAAATATGATGACAACGATATCTGCAACATTGACAATGAATGTTTTCAGTGTATACATTTGTCGAAAAGTTTTACAAAATTTGTAGATTAAGCAACCCACAAAAAAGCATTGTGTCTGTTAATAGTGACGGATAGAAACAAATGAGGCGAAAAAGTAAAATATGAATGACAACAGACCTAACTTTGAGCTATTGCTTTGATAGTTTCCGTTGATGTTATTTTTTCTCATCATCACCACCACAACCACTGCCATTAGCAGGAAATACAACAACGAGAAAAAATTAATCAGTTTTTTACGTTCTGCATTTTGCCTTTTTTTACTAACCTGACCCTTATCATCGGCAAACTTTCTTGAATATCACCATTCAAAGCGGTTCTTTTCAGTTGCCGTCTTCACCGCAAAATCTGAACTTACGAGATCAATGATCTTACAGGAAGTTTTGGGGACGCTACATTAGTGAACGAAAGTTTATTTAAACAAAATAAGCAGATAAAAAATGTGTAGTCAACCAATTTTCAGTGCTAAACTAGATGAAACTGCTGTAAGTCGATAAAATCTCCTTACTGTTTGCTGTCTATGGTATACGAAATTTTGCTAACGAAGTAAGAACTGTGCCATCGCTGCTCAAAGCACTCGTCAGCGGGCAAAAACTGTACCAAACAAGAATGACGTAGATATTGCTGCAATAAGATTTTGTCGCCTTTTTTTACTGCACACTGGTTTTTGTGGCACAGAGCTTTCTTTTTGTATTTTGGTAAAAAAACTGTTCAGTAATTCATGTGGAAATTCTTTTGCTAGTTGATTTCTAAAAGTGATATCAAAATTGTAGTACCACTTGCTTAAGATATTTTTTTGAGTTCCCCTAACGTTTTCTTATTTTGAAAACTGATGCCAATTCTTTTGTGACTCCTATTCGGCAGTTATTCTCGCCAATTTGAGCAATTAATTCTTTAACAAGTGTCAATATTGAACCATCTCAGTAATCTTTAATTCTTAAAAAGTTTCGTATAAAACAGTTGTTACCAATAATGGAACAACCTGATGGCGAAAGGTTTCATTCTGTTTCTGTTTTAAACTCAATCTTTTCTAGGTCACACTTTTAGCTGTTAAAACTCTTGTAACTTTATTAAACACCTCACTAAGGATAAATAGACTCACAGAGTAACAAAAAAAGGATGCAAACAAGCACGATAACCGAATTAAAGGACAAACGACCCAAGAAAAAAATGACTGAGACTGTACTTGTTAGACTAATAGAGTAGATTACTATGTGACTTAGATATAACAGTCATTTAGCAAAACCAGCGCTCTCAAGCGACAGAAAGCAGTTGAAAGGTCGAGACGGTGAAAAACCGGAAAGATTTTCGCAGCAAGCCATAAAGGCTATTTGTTGGCCAACCCGACTGTCAGGGTGGCGATTGCTCCGTTTCAAGTACTCTTAAATGCATTAGCCAAAAAATTCTTCTTTTTCTATCTGCTTGGTGTGCTTTTGCGCCAGCTATAGCTCTCTTTCTTTTTTTCAAGTCGCTTAACTGCAACTGACGGAGAAAAACAAGATTTATGGCAGGTTCCAAAAAAATTAGGCATTTAAAAAAACAATATATTCTTCCTGAATACTCAGCTTTAAATTCATAACTGAAACAGTTGGATATTTTTACTCGTTTTTTGCAGTTCCTGGCAGAAAAGAAAAGCTTGATTATCCCTTTCGACCACCATCATATAGTTCACTGGGTCATTGATAGTTCAGACGATCAAGTGTATTTTGCCAAATTCAGTGACGATTCATTGGGTAGATGGTTAGAAGGATAAAAAGACAAAATGAAAAGCACAGATTTTGACTAAGTTGGAGGATACAGACTCAGGTTTGCTAACTGGAAGTAAACAAGAACGGTTGCCAACAGTTCACCGCCAACGCATGCACTTCTGCCTCTTTCATGCACTCGCAATACGCTTTCAAAAGCACAAGTCTTCTCATTGTTAGCGCTGCATTTCTGCCGCATACCATCATCTAGCGCTACCAATTTAAGCGTGCAGTTTGTCATAGGTGAACAATCCTTTTATTCTGCCATTTTGACTAGCAAAGGAAAATTATTTTCTTTTTTTGACTTGTACACCTTTTTTCACTGAACCTCCACATTTACTTGTGGAACTGGTGTATCTGCTGTTTTTTTTGTGCTTTTTTCACTGAGGCATTACAGTTGTTCACTAAGATCAGGCCTTAAAAAGTTGGTATGAACATCAAATAAGTATACCTGCTTTAGTACTATCAAATATTTGTATCTTGCTGATGTTCAAAAAAAGTTTTGAACATATGCTATTTAATGTACAGAACAATTCATAGATTACCATACTGCCAAGTCTCGGACGGTCGGAAATCAGTTCAAACTGCTGAACATCGCATACCAACATAACAGCTGATTTCGATAAGGTCATATTGCGTTCGCCCTATCCATATCTTTTTTACGTCTTTATTATTTCTCAAAACAGCAGCACTTGTTCTCCTCCTGCCTTTTTAGTATTTTTTTGTAATTCTGCAACTTTCGAGACGCTGTATCGAACTTCCCTTCACGTATCACTACTGAACATGTCATTCCAATTTTTTTCTTATTTTTTTATCTTTTATTTTTATCTTTTACTTTTTGTTTTGCGCTCAGACCAGTTTTTTGTTTGTAATTTTTGTTTCCCGATTTGCGCTGTCATATATATATATATATTTTTCGCTACTGCTCTGTGAACAACTTCAATTGGTGAACGAAAAAAAAAAACCTTTGCTGCGTTCAAGAGAACTGTGAGAACTATGCTGAAAGAGGCGGAGTAGTCGCAGGGTTGAGAAGAGGGAGGAAGAAAAATGATTCGGAAAAGGAAATAGTGAAAAAAAAAGAGAGAATGAACAAGAAAGCTCAAAAATGATAAACTTGAGTTGTGTGTCAGACAGAGCCTCAAAAAGTTTCCTAAATTTATATTTGAATAAATTTATTAGGCAATAGAATGACTTTTGGAAATTGATCTTTTTTTTGTTTGGAACAGAGAGTGGATAGGGAAGTGTTGACTTCAATTTCGCTTCAAATGGTTTTCTAGCGAAGAAACATCAGCAACGTAACCGACTTTTCCTTTTTTTCTGTTTCAATTCCAGAATCTACTTGGTAAGGGAAAATTATTTGTACTTCTATCACTGTATATTATGTATCTGTTGGACTTATGTTGGTATTAAAACTGTCGACAAACAATATTGATTTATGCACTTATTCACATCTCAATTTAATCTGGGATTTCTTTTAATTTGAGATAAAAAAGTTGTGTTTACTTTTTCGTTTTTTTTTTTGTGTTTTCTGCTTCTACTGTAGTTCTGAAGGCTTATAAGAAACGTCATTAAAGTTAGCAAAGTTCAAAATAATGAGGAAAAACTTGCGTTTTTTTCTTTTGATCAAGCAGTCAACTGGTAGTAAAAATTACTTAACAACTTATGACTCATAACTTGTTGTTATTTGCTAATCAGCATTCAGTGGCTTCAAACCTTTGAAGAACATTTGGCTTTTAATACTAGACCTGTGCAGCTGTGTATAAGCCGTGTTTTATTGACTGTATTGGTTGGGAAAGTGAAGGGAAAAGAAAAAGAAAAATTGTTTCAAATAGGGTTTTGGGAATTTCTCACTATATAATGCAAAAATAGTCTGGTTAGCAGCCCCAGGAGCCAGTCCAAAGTGAAATAATGATCTTTGGACTGTTATTATATCAGCTGGAAAAATGTGTTGCTCTCCCCGTAAACCAAAAATTATAACAAATTCCAGTGTATTGGATTTTGTGGGTAGTAAAAATTGAGACTGTGTTTTGTTATTCGTAAATAATGTTTTTTTTGGAACCTACAACTTTTGTTTAATTTATGACATATTCTCATTTGCGGTCATTGCAGTAGCTCATTGCGAAACTGCTTTAAAGTTTTAACTTATAATTTTTCTTGATATGGCTTCAAAAAAGTTTGCAAAAAATATTTATACAGACCCTGACTTTTCTCTCTAAGATAAATTTGTAAAATTTTAAATAATTCTTTTTTACGCCTGAGTGAATTAAATCTTGTCACTGTTAGTGTTTTGTTTTAAGTTAGACGGTTTAATGCACTTTCCTTACAATTATTTTGGAGCAATTCTAAAAATTATATACTCATACTGAAAATTCTTCCAGTTTGTTTTTATATGCTATTTTACTCTCAGAAATGATTTGTCAGTAGAGTTGAAGGTGGTGGCCTTACTATTTTTTGGTGCCCAATGCATTAGTGATGATCACTGTGCATTCCTTCTTTTTGTACTAACACTCGTGAACCACCGTGTGAGTAGGCATTATATTTTAAAACAATTAAACCTGTAGTTTTTAAGTGTTATTAATCAGTCAAACAAGTAGTCTGGTATCAACTATTTTTTATTTCAGAGTCGAATTGAATTCTTTAATCGTCAGTAATAAACAAGAATTTTTACCATATTCAATCTAAATCTATTGTCATTCTATTTTAGTGATATACTCTATCATACTCTCATTATAATACTGGCCGATTAGATGATCTAACTCAAGAAAACAATGATTGCTGTTAAGCAGCTTTATCTTTTGTTAATTACATTTGTAATAAAGTCAGTTGGAGATCATGCTGGCATTCAGTTTAATAAACGAACCCCAGATACGGTTAGTAACATTTGATATCTGTTTAACTATTTGTACAGCGAACTAAAACTTTATACTTTTTTTGCTTGCATATATATATGTGTAAATATATATATATATATATATATATA